AGGAAAAGAGAACACACATTCACACACAAAGAGTGAAATACGAACATACCTTATGCATAATTATATACATTCCCACATCATAAGAACAGCCTGAACAATCACTTGTTAATTAGTAAGATATCATTATCTATTGCTTTAGGAAAATATGTTTTATATACCATCATTAAATGCCCACTGAACTAAAAGAACCCAATCTTATTATCTGATGCACAGCATCCATAAAATTGCTAGGTGTGGACTTCAGTGGGACTGCAGTAACTGTGGCTACCACTGTCCTACCACGCTAAGGCCTACAGTGAGAACAACTTCAGCCGTCAAAACGTAACAGATTGACACGGCACAGAGATGGAAGTTCCTCAGCCTGCATAGGGTTCTACACCTAACCACAGGATACTGTGCACAGGACACACAGCAGCAGGCCTCAGCGTAAGCAATAAACCAGGGCCTCCTCTCCAGCCAGCCATTAGTAGTATTTGCCTCCTCTTCATAGCCAGTTGCTCTGAGCCTCTCAGCCCAAATGCACTTGTGAAACTGCACTGTATATACAATTTCTAGCTATATCCTGGGGTTTTGCATATAACAAGTATCTTAAGATCTACCCAATACTGCAAGTCGAAATGGTAGAATGATGGCGCTGGGTTCACAGTGTTCCTTTGTCACACTCACAACAGGGCTTACCACCTGCTTCACTGAAAGAGTGAAAAAAATCACAATTACAATTAAGGTTTTTTTTTTTTTTTAAAGGAAGATATCCGTATTTGTCTTTTTTAATTAAAAAAAAATCCTTAAGATATTGCAACTCTGGCCACACAGCACTGATCCCTAGAAAACACTAAACCATGAAGAAACATGGCCACTTCCACCAATAAAATTTTAGTACTGAACTAAGTAGAAATGAAACTTTTCTGTTTGAGATTGTCAAGGTTTATCGTATTTTGATAAGCTAGTACACTTTGACTTTTCATTCTAACTGAAAAGGAAAACATGTTGTCAACACATCATATTCCCCCCCCACAGAATGCTTCCTTACTTGTAATTTTATGCTAGTTCAGGCCAATGGAGAAAAGTTATCTAAAAAATCTGCCTCTGTCCCAATGGATGGAATATGGAATCATATCAAAGGAAGGTTCAACCCCCCAGTCAAAAATGACAGGCATTTGGGCCCACTGATTTAGCCTCACACTTGTAAAGTATCAATGGATCAAAATAAACTTCTGAAAATTATCTTTGGAAGTAAGTCCAGCAGTCTCCTCCTAATCCGTTTCTCTAAACACATAGCACTCTCCTCAGCATCACTTTCATCTATCCTGGAATGAGTTGTCATTCTGGATCCTTTTATGACTACATATTGATAAAGCAATACAAACTGTGTTAATTGTGCGCAGATCCAACAGAAGCCTGTAACAAGCAAGATGTTCTTCATCACATATGCATATTCAGTATATAACAGACAACAGCACTCTGTTAGGTGTTTTAAGAAAAATCCTTGCAAAGGATTAACAAAAATTGTTAATTCAGAGTTTCATAGTTGAACATACCACTACTGTATAGGCTAGATTCTCTTTTCTCTCCCATATTATTTTGCCCCACACCTTCACTCTATCCGTTTGCATAAGAAGCTCACTGCCTTTGACGATTAGCTCTCTGAAACACAGGACACACCTGTGTCTTTGCAAAGCGCCTGGTACAGTGTGGTCCCATTGCTGACAAGGGAATTTCAGCTCTACCCTAGTATGAAAATAAATATTAAAGAAAAAGGCCGAAAAGCCTCCGTAGTTTTAATTCCCAACTCCAACTCATTTCAAGCAGAAGAAAGCGTAAAGACGTTTGTGTTCACGCACAAAGGGCCCTCCAGAACACAGGACCAATCCTTACTTGTATTCACAAAGAGCACTAATGGGTCTAGGAATCATGAGATATCCCCACTTTGCCCTTTATCACCAGAACATTTTCATTTAGTAACACCATGCTTGCCCACACCCAACCAATAAGGACTGCAGAAACCACGCTCCCTCTGGAAGTAAACGTTTCTGAAATAAATATTTAAGTATTCAAATAGCATAGCTTCCCTGAAATAGTCTCTGTATGACAATCTCTAGCAATTGCATATATTCCTCGCTATCACCAGTGCAGAAAATTCCCTTCTTCTGATAAATCCACTTGCTGCGTGGTCCAAGATACTACTAGTCTAGGAGAGGGAGAGACCAGAGCAAAGCCAGAGCTTTCTGTGTCCTTTGCTAAAAAGCCACTGATCCCAGCAGCCCAGGTGCTGCCGGGGCAGCGAGGGGCAGGCAGCTGCTGCCACCAGGCGGCTCGGCCAAAAGGGACAGCCAGTGGCTTTGGGGGGAACCTGCCTCTTGTGACCCTGCTGCACCTCCCTCGCTCAACAGCACCGGAGGGAGGAAAGCAAAACGCGCCTCAAGGCATTATGTGAGAGGGCTCAGCCACTGCTTTAGGCAGGAATTGCTTTGCTTGCTGCCTTAACCTTTCTGCAGGGGGTGGCATTGTCCAGAGAAAGCTGGATAAAGTGATCTTTGTGAGCAAATAAATAAAGCAAGGGAGAAAGTGATCTATGTGAAAACAGGAGCCGGGTGCTGCACCCGCTCACAGAGACTGGAGGCTACTGAAAATTTTCAGAAGAGGGATTCTAGTCAAAGTTGAAGCTATAAATTTACCTACTCCTGGTGCATACTCGATGCTTTTTATAATTAACGTTACCGGGGAGAAGGAAAGAAGGAAGAAATGAAGGACAGCTTGAAACACATCAAGGCAGAGGGAAAATAACTGAGCAGGGTCTGTAATCCAATCATTTAATTCTCAGGATAACAAATACCTCACCTAGGGA